AAGTAACCATTTTTTTTTTTTTTTTAGTAATAATAACATAAATGGGATTTTATTTTTACAACAATAATTAAAAAACCTTCCTTTTAACAGTAACTTTCCTTAAAATGAAACTTTTACTGTAAATAATATTAAATATTTTTAGCCGATTTTTTTAAAATTATTATTTTCTATATAACTCAATAAAGGTCTAAAAATCATTTTTACTTCGAGATAATTTTAATACTTATAATTTTAAAATATACTGTGAAATGTACGTAAATATAATTTTATCGAGATATGTTAACTCATTAATTGTTAATCTTAAAAGATTACGGCATAATTTGGTTTAAATTCAATAAAAAAATATAGCAAATCTCATATTCAATACTTACTTTCTAATTGATCTATTGCTATTAATCATCGTTCTAAAAAAAAAAAATAATATATTTTATAAGTAAATTGCAATAAAAACATAAAAACAGCATTATATACTCATTATCATTATACACCGTCAATAAATTAACCTTTGGACTGCATATTAAACGGTCGAATGTAAGTTCCCATACGTGACATAGCAGCGTCCATGAACTTGACCCACCTATATCATATGGTCAACTCCAAACCAATACAAAAAGTTAGCAAATAGTTTGTAAATATTAGCAAATTTATCGCAGGAGTTACCAAATCGTTTTTTTGGAAGCCATACACTTTTTTAGGTGGGCCAAGTTCAGGAAACCCACCCACTTTGCCCGATCATCTACAAACAAACGTCAATACTTAGCAAACAGTTAGAAAATAATAGTAAATCTATTTTAGGAGTTAGCAAATCAAAACGATATTTTTAGCCAATTTTCAACTAAAAAATGTTAGTCCGCCTACTTTGCCAAATCGGCTCCAAATAAATGTTAGTAGCTAACAGACAGGTTAGACAGGACAAAATCATTGTAAAATCAATACTTTTATTTTCAAGAAGATTACTAAATCTGTTCCTTATCAATCATTAGTTTAACCCTTAGACTCTTAGGATAATAGAATAAGTAAGAATAGATCGTCAACGATTCTATGAACAATCTCTTGATCTGCATGCACATGTATCAAATTGAATTTTTGAAATTTTTGACATTTGATTTGCCTTATGCGTAAAGAAGCTTGAGCTAAATAAATTTTCAGTTAGTTTTCAATGTATTCTTAAAAGTTTTCAAATGCTGGTACGCTTTGAAAAAAATCCGTAACAATAAAATATATTACTATAAAATAATATAGACAGTTAAGCATATGATGTGTAAAAATTGTGAACACACCACTAATAAGTATACATGGAGTTTCAACAATAACTATTAAGTTAAATAATTTTTTTAAAAACAATTATTTTTGACATACGAGTGCTTTACGAGTTTCGCATAAAACGGAAAGCGGAATTCACTGCAAATTGAAATTTTTTTCTGATTATCCTAAAAGATTACTTTCCAATTAGGACATTCGTTTTATATAACAGAAATAAATTATACTTTTAATTTGCAATTTAAAATTGTTATTATTTTTATAGCATATTTTTTAACATTTTAAGTGTATTTATTCTTATTTTCTCATAGTTTTATCAGATAATTTGATACGATATATTTTGATTTCTTCCTAAAAGAAAAAAAATTCATACTTTTATATTTCTATTTCTAAAATGTATTAAGTGGCTTAAAATCTAGAAAATTAATTGGCGCACGTCCCTTATTCTGGAACGTGGTGATTATTCACGCAAAATAAAATACATTTAAATTCAGTGATTAATTGCTTAGTGTGTAAGTGACTTTATGGTTATACCGATTGTACTAGATAAATACGATGCCGGCTGTAATAAAGACATCATTTTAAGGAGGTTTAAGTTTTAATCAATCCCCCTTGAAATATCTGGAAACCATTCTTCCAGTCAAAGAATTATCTTGTCATACAATTTACTTGTTCAAATTATGTAGCAGATTGTGAATGTAATAAAAATAACAAAAAATTTACATATATGTGTTTAATAATAATATAAATACAAAATTTATCTAAGAAGAACTCTTAATTACTATTATTATTGTTTTGTTATCAATATTACGAATTAAATATAATAAAACTGATAAAATTGTATATAACATTAGGTAACCGAACAATATCTTGTAATTTATAAATTGTATTATTTATTATTCTCCTGTGTGTAATTTTGATTTATCGTAGTGAGGTTATTGAAGAATTTAAATACCTTTAAACCTTTTTCGAACAAAAAATATCATTTTGAAAAAAAACGGCGTTCAGATCGGTCCAGAATTTTTGAGTCGATTAATCTCAGATATACCAACATAAATTTTTATATGTATAGAAAGAACAGACAATACAAAATTAACCAATTTAAAAACAATATGTAACTATTTATTTTTTAGATTATTAATTTCATTACAAAAAAAAAAGAAACGTTTAATAACTGAATTATTTTGATAATTCGATTAATTTTTTAAAAAAAAAATCATGGTTTTCTGTGATGTACTTATAATACTATTCATAAAATATAATTTTTTTATATCATTAATATTATAATCATTGATGTCCGATTAATCAATTAAACTATGAATTGTAGTTTTTTATTTATCCTCATTTAAGAATTTATAAAACAAAAGTACAAAGAAGTAGAAGGAATTTCATCAGCCATTAATTGATCATTAAGCATTTAATAATTCTCATATAATCGATAACTCTTTATAATTATTTTTGAAGAGAAAAAATAATCAATTCCTCACAATACGTTAGTAATTTAATAAATAAAATCCTTTGCCTAGCCTTTACGGTTATCGTCATTTCCACACAAGCGGTATTATCATTAAAATTGATTAAAAATAAGAATTTCAGTAAAAACTGATTTGACATTAATCATTTTTTAGTTACACCGAATGATTCCCTTTATTATTTATTTATTATTCTTTTATTTTTTATTAGTCATTGGTTTTTAAAAATTTAGCAAAACTTTCAATCAAGTCATAACATATTTATTTTCTAGACAAATGATCATGAACACAAGGCTATTATATAAAAAGGAAATTTTACGCTGATACGATTTTTTTTCCTATAGAGCTAGTAATAATAATAAAATGTAGGTACTTACGGCATATTATAATATATTGTCAGTGACTTATAGAGAAATAATTTTTGGAGTGGGCTATAGTAGATAGAAACTAGCAAGTGATCCAATCCAGCATCTAGAATCCATTGCCCATTATATATTTAACAGTTTCTACAAAGAAGTTTTGTAAAAATCATCTAATGAAAATGCTACATGTGGCATTAATTATTTTGTGGTACATGTTTAAAATAATAGGTAACTAGTATAGTTGTTTAAATTTTAACTTAAATTTTGTTGGGATTTTGGGAAAAGTATAATATTGATACATTATATAATAAATAATAAGTAATAAGAATTAAGCATAGAGCATATAGATGACAGATAAATTATATAATGTATATGCTATTAATTATTATGGGTATAGAACCATAATAATAAAATACCTAATAATGATTAGGAATGTATGTATAAAAATGCATATTTACCTAAGTTACCTAAACATCATAAACTAAACAAGTTATGTTACAATTAGTATTCAACACCTAATATTATATGTACGTTTCTTATAATAAGAAGATTTTTTCTATTTAGTAAGTATTGAAAAAATTAATTTTAGGCATGTATTATAACTTCATAACTTCATATAAAACAAAATAAAACAAATAGGTAAAATCATTTTTTTATTTTTGTTTATAAAACTTTTTACAATATCATTAATTTGCAACGGTATATTTATATGAATTGTTATTAAGGCTAATTCAGTTAATCGGACATTTCCACATTGATTTCTTACACATGTTTTTAGTCTTCCAAGTGTTGAAAAACTTATTTTTATACTTGCAGTAGTAATTGGTATTGTACATAAAATTTTTCGCAGAATATAAATATTAGGAAACTAATCAAATTGACATACTTTCAAGGCCGTTAAATCATTTTTTGGAATTTTTTTAATAATTGACACAACTATTTTCCATTTTTCAACCCATACTATCCACTCTCCTAAATCATAGCTTCACTATTTTCTAATTCAGCAAGGTAGAAGAGTACAGCATTAACAATATTTTCATATTTTGATTTAATTGCATTTATTGGTATATTTTGTAAGCTCACAAGAGTCTTTTTGTGTTTTGAAAATCTGTTGATTAATGATGAATTTAATTCATCAAGATATGGAATGAATAAACTAATTCTATAATATATATCTGGAGAGTTAGTTGAATAATTATGGCGATGCCTTTGGATGCCAACAATCCTAGGTATTGATGGTTCAACATTAAGTTTAGAACTAATAGCTTGAGCACTTAAATACAAGTGTTTAAATTTAATTTCAAAATTTGATCTAATATCATTTATGACTGATTGTACAAGTTCTATGTGCCCAATAGCAGAACTTAAACTAATATCAGGTTTTTGTAGGCCAACTGATATTTGATGAATTACAGCCAACGTTTTGTTAACAGTTACTAATGTTATTAAAAACTCAAAATCACAAAGTTTTTATGAAATGATTGAGCAGCTGTTCTATCATCGTTATTATCTGACATTATCTGTTCCATATTTTTAATAATTGGTAAAATATCATTTTTGAAATTAACAATTGCTTCATGCCGTTCTATCCATCCAGTGTCACAGTAATTCATTTAACGTGAAGGTGTCAATCCTTGTTTAGATAATTTTGTTTTTAAGATATTAGATCTTCTCACCGATGCTCTCATAAATGTACGTATTTCTCTTATCACCCCAATACAGTTTCTAACCGGTTGTAATTTTGATGCATCATTTAAAACTAAATTCAATGAAAAACACAATAAGTATACATTTCCGTAGGATATTCTTCCAATATTATTGCTAGAACTCCATTAAAAGCTCCACTCATTGCAGTAACCTTATCAGACCTTTGTCCATGCATATAATTTAAATCAAGACCAAGAGATTAAAGTTCTTTTTTTACTGTAGTAGCTAACCATTTGCCTGTAACATCATGCACTGGCAACAATTTTAAAAAATCTTCTCTTATTTCATTTATATCTTCATCAAAATAGTGAACAATTAATGAAAATTGTTCAATTCCTTGGACATCAGATGTTTTATCAACCAGCACAGAGAAAAATTTGGTTTTTTCACTTATTCAACAATAATATTTTGAATAAAAATCCTTATTAGTTCAATTATTTCATTTTGTATTAATGGACTTGAATAAATTTGTTTTCCACCAGCATTTAAGATGTGAGAATTAAGAGTATCGTCCCCATTTTTAGCCCTAAAGCACTACAAGGCTCTGAAGTTCCCATCATTATTATTTGGATCATTCAGACTTAGGCGGCCATAATTTTTATGTCCTCTTAATGGAATATCTTGTCGCTCACAAAATATAATTGTTTCAATTATTGCAGAAATTTTTTTGGTGTTTTCAATCAATTCTTTTTTATTTATTTATCAACTTGAAATTGTACACTATTTATTTTTCCATCAACCATTTTTAAAAAATTATTTGATTTCAAAACTGTTAATTAGTGATATTGAAGACAGGAATGACGATAAAAAATGTTTTGGCTGATTTCCAGCACTTTGATGTGATCCTTTACCGGAAAAACTTCCAGGATCGAAAACTATATAATTTTTACAAAATGCTCCATTTTGTACTTTAGAATAAGCCAACTGTACGTGCGAGTGTGGAAAGTAATATGCCGCTTACCTCGGCACCTAAAGTTGCAGAGTGGACTGTAATTTTTAATGAATCCCGGGAATTGGAAATTACCGATACATTAATTACCCCAGACGAGGGAGGGATTGCCTACGCTTGTCTGGAATTAAGTATCGTATAATGACAAGGAAGTGGAAAACATTTATAGATAATAAAAAAAATAATAATCAAATAATAATAATAGTATTTTGATACGTTATATAATGAACTACAATTATGTGTGAGGTAAAAGTTGTGTGCAAATAATATAAATAAATAAGTGTAAAAATGTATATTATAATTGGTGTAAATGATATATAATAAAGCAAAAAAAATGTGTGTGGTAACTATGAGTAAGTGATGTAGTGTGTCTGTTGACAACACGTAAATATGTGCCTGTTGGTCACAAAATAAATCAGTACTACTGACTAATAATTATTAATAATTATAATAACAAAGATAATAATTGTTACTATAAAACTCACAGTTCATACAAAATGAGGTGTATACCTGGCCAGCTGCAACCAAAACCAATATAATATAATAAAACACTCACACGAACGATAATTACAATAATACACAACACAATTTATTTGGTGTACATTCAGATTTACTACGGAATATATATTAATAATTAAAAACTAATACAATTGATGCACTTATGCGTGTGCGAGAAATAATATAACATGAAAAAAACCATGAAAAAATTTTCTGATTTTAGATTGAGCTAGGTCACATCTCCTCACCATAACGGCCGAACAATAACAAAAATCCGTAGGCACGTAAAATATTGATAAACTAATTATAATAATACACGATTAATGATATGAATTTGGAAGGATGACATAAGATAGACGCTTATCGTGGTCGTAGCACGTCGACGTTACATAATAGACGTCCGGCCAGTAAACAATAATTAAATGACCTAAATTATTATTTGTTAGGCCGCTACACTAACCATTTAAAGTAATTCAACCAGGATTTTTGAAAGTGCCTATTTACATAAGATAATACTTGTACATTCAAGTTGGTGAATGAATCTGGTATCCATATATTTTTTAAAAGCTTTTTTTTTAACATTATCGCTGAAAGTTTTATTAGATGTTCTGTTAATATATAAACCAATATCATAATCATTGTTGCTTGAAGTTGTTTGGGCGGAATTATAATTAACTGTCTAATCCTAAAATTAAATTTAAATTATAATAATTATTTATTCAATTTCCTTAATCAAGACTTACATTAAAATCTGTCTCAAAATTTTCAAAACTGTCATAAACTTTGTGTTCATTGTTGGCTATAGAATGTACTTGAATGGAACTTGTCTCATGTTTGTGTGCCTTTTAATTAATATATAAATTGAGTTAAAAAAAAAATCAAAAGAAACAAGTATATTTACCTAAATGATACATATTACATAATATTAAATGGTGCAATATTGATAAACATAACATTTATAATTTTGTTCTCTTATTAGTTCTTAAATAATAAAATCAAATTTTAAAACGTATAAAAGGAAGTTATTGAAATTCATAAAAACATTAAAAACATACAATTTTAATGTATTATTCTATATATTTTATAGAAATGAAAATTTACTAAATATCTAGTATATTATCTATAATATATTAAGAGTAATACTGGGAGAAGTTAAGAGTATCTACTATTGTATAAGTATTGGAAGTATATACAATTTTTAGAAAATAATTTTTAAAAAAAATGTTAAACTAATTTAATTAATTACATTTAATATATAATATTAATTATATTAATTATATTAAATATATTATTAAGCTATAATAAAAAATAATAATACAGATGGAAATTATGGATGTCTTGATTTATTAAAATAAATTTTGTTTATATTTTAGAGGTTTAATGTTTGTAATTTTGTTTAAAAACATAGGAAAGTAAATGTAATTTATTATTTTTGATATTTCAATGTATATTTATTAATATGAGTAAGCAATTAGTTTTAAATTTTAATAAATATATGTATGGTTTGACAATAAATAATGATATTAATTTACGATATATTTCTAAATTAAAAAAAATGTATCAAGGCATCAATTTATTATGGTACCTAGCTATTTTAAATTGATAAAATATTAATATTAAATTATAATTACTAATTAATACTTACTTTTTCGGCATCAAAAACATATTTTTTTAATTTATCTTTAAAATTCATTATTCAAAATTCAACGAGCTAAATAGTATATGGTAAGTTGCACTTTTTACAGTATCTATTTAACTTAAAATATTGTATGAAAATAATTAAAATGTTTGCTTGCACGGCGGCGAATGATTTCAGCGTCTGTCGTCGTTGTGGTTTTTGGGTAGAACAATGCTATCAACGACAACGTAAATATAAATATTGAATAAAGTGTAGACCAATAATTATTAACTAACCTATAAATAGCATTTATAATGACTGATAAACAATTATTATTATTTCCAGTCTGGGCGTCTAGTAGTATAATAGCATAATATTATTATATTATTCCTACAAATATACTTATAAATAATAAACGATCAAAATAGATACTGTCAAATAATCCAAGTATTTGTATTTGTTATTTTTCCACAGATAATGAAATAATATTTTAACTTAATAATTATTATAATATTATATAAATAATTATAAATAAATAAATATAATAAATCATATATATATTATTAATATTATTATAATTATTATAATTATTAACTTATATTTGTGACTTTTTGAATAGTAAAAATAAAATTAATACCTGTAATTTATAAAACGGTTATTTTTAGGCATTGCTTCATCGGCTGACGGTCTTATTCCACCGCGGTAGACCTTCCAATCCGTTTTTAAACGAGTGACGTCTATCGGACCATTATGTTGGGGCAATAAAATTAATTTTAATACAATATTTATTATAATATACATATATATATATATATATATATAGGTTAGGAATCTGATCGATTATAAAATACATCGATGTATATCATGCACAAATGGAACATATTATATTATAAAGTAAAGTGTAAAGTGTTTTGGCTTCATATTGCGTTGTTAAATTTTGATTATCATCACTATAAATGTTTAATAGTGCAGTGAATATTTCGTTGTATCCCAACCGTAGAGCTTTAACTGCATTAGCGTCAGCTGACCAACGAGTGTTGGATGTTGATTTCAATGTTAATGGATTTTTATTACATTTCAATTGCTCATTTAATACATTCCATCTGCAAGGAGATGATGAAAAAAAAATATAAAGTGATTGTCCCACACCAAAATAATTTACAGCTTCTACACAAGACTCAACTGCTGAAATACCAACCAAGTTTAGGGAATGAGCAGCACAGGGAATATATTTTTCTTTAGGATAGAGTTGTTTAATTCGTGCTTGCAGCCCTGAATATTTTCCCGACATATTTGATGCGTTGTCATATGATAGCCCAATACAATTGTTGATGTTAGTTTTCAGTTTTTTCAAATAAGAAAAAATATGGGTTGTTAACGATTCTGCAATATGGCTATATATATTTTGAAATTTAATAAACCGTTCTAATACTTTACCTTCTTCATAAACATATCTTAAAATATATGAAAGTTGGTCAACATATCAGTTCTATATCAGGTGTAGAGTCAACTATAAGGCCAAAATATTTTACTTTTTTAATTTCTGTCACAATATGGTTTAAAACTTTAGATGCCATTTGATCAATTATTTGTCGTACAGTAAGTGAAGATATGTAATTTATATTTCCTGGGCCTTTATTTCTAAACTGAGAAAGATGATTTTCAAGGAAAGGATCAAATTTACTTATCAGTTCTAAAATACCAAGAAAATTGCCATTACGATCAGAATTCAGTTTCTCATCATCACCGAAAAATGGCAATCCTCGAATTGAAATAAATTTGATACCTTCAATAACTCTTTTTAAAACATTTCTCCAATATTCGACTTCTTTATTGTGTTGTAATACTATTTCCTGATCAATTCTTTTCAGGGTGGATGCACGAATTGATAAAGTACATAGAGCATTTTTACGTTCCATAGAGTTTTCGTGTTTAGCAAGACGTTTAGAAGTATGCACCCAATCATCAAAACCAGATTGGCAGAGCTGTCTTTTAAAAAGTTTACAAACATAACAAAACAATTTTGCACATTCTTCTAGATATACTAGCCATTGTCTATTCATTTTTTGTTGGTTTTTTTGGTTTTTGGTTGTATAATAAAAGTGAGAAGCATTAAGTGATCACCAATTTCAATATAAAACTTTTTTGAATTCTCAATTCTATCCATATTTTAGTTCGGAG